AATGTGTTCAAAGGTGTTTAAGGGCAGTAAGGAAGTCAGCTGCCCTTTTGAGAGTCAGGGTTGTAGATCAGTGTTCCCCACACTATTGTTGCCTGTGAGAAAACTTTCAAGAGGCACGAAAGATGAGAAAAATACAGTGAATTTATTCACCTGGCTCCACATTTGCAGTCTTCCCTGAAGAACAGTCTCTTCTGCCCTTTATGTTATATAGGGTCTGTTAAAACAAATACTAACTGCTTTTCATTTAAAATAGGGTAAACTTGTACATCTTGAGTTGAAAGGATTTGACTGATACATGATAAGGTTTCCAGGAAGTCTGAGGGAATACGAGGTATAATAAGCATTTTCTATAAAGTCATCTTAAAGTCGTTAGGAGTTTTTGGTAAGAATCAGCGTTTTAATGTAAACCCTTAAGTTTTTTAGCTTTGTAGATCTTTTCAGATCTATTAGATTAGCATAAAGCTGAAAACTTTTTTATCTAGTAGAAATCTCTCAGTTGCAGGGAAAAAAATAGCAAATGTTTCAGTTTTTCAATAGCAAATTATAATAGATTATTAGTTTATTTTCTGTTAGAAAATAAAGCAGTTTAAACTTTTATTTCCACACTGCAGCTTTTATTCTTTTAATGAAGTGGTGGATTGTTTTATTAGCACTGTGAAGAAAATGACTTCTGCAACTTCTGAAAGAAATTTTCTGTTTTTCTTATATTAAAACAAAATGTAGTATTATATCCAAAAATGATTTTTCTAATTTTTTTTGTTTTTAATCTTTTCAATTACTCTTGTATATTCACAGTTAGGAAGAGTTTCTTTTAAGAATGCCGGTAGCATGTTATAGAAACTTTATTTAACTGGGGAATAAAAATTTTGACCTCTTGATTGTCAGTAATTAAGAAGCTTAGTTTTTAAAAACTTTTAAGTGTTTAAAGGAGTTTTTCTTCCAAGATGCTTCTTCCAAGCATCTGTAGATAAGATTCCTATCTTTTCTTTGATATATTGGTAAAATTGTAAATCAAACACTGGTTTGTAGAATTTAGAAGATAGAGCTACACCTAAAGGACATTCAGTTCTAGAATTTTGTTTATACAAATACTGTAGTGATGGTTTCGTGCTGTTGGGTGTGCTCCTATGTGCAGTTTTGTCTCTAAAGTAGTCTTTACCCTAAAGTTATTCCTCTCAGATAACTTTTGACAGGTTATAGCCAAGTAATTTGGATCTTAAAAGCACTTATTTATCTGAGTATATTTATTGGTTACTTTCCTTAGTGTCTTTGGAATCTCTAACCTGTAAGATTCACAATGAAATTGTAAAATTCAGATAAAGGTTTCGCTGTTATTTTTTTGTTGCCTTTAATATTTTCTTGATGTGCTTTTCTTTTAAGAATAAATTTTCCCATATGCCCTCTGTGTAGAGGCAGATTTTTTATACATTTAGATGACACCACTAATCAGTGTCCTAAATTGTAACAATAGTAAGCAGAATAAGCATATTTTGTTCTCAGTGGTGATTTAAAGTTTCAGATTTAAACTTCATATAATAGAATCGGAATTTTATAACTAAGAAGATACTTTAAAATATGCATGGTTTCAAGCCCTAATTTTTACAGGTGATAAAGCATAGGCCTATTATGACTCCTTAAGCTAGCTGCAAAGCCCCATATGAGTTGTATAGCCATGAGAATCTTGGGCAGAGTTATACCCTGCCCTAAGTTTCAAATATAGGGAACAATTAATGGTTAGTATTAGCACAAATGAAGGCAGAGAGGCTGTAATCCCATTTAGTAAAAGGCTTTTAAAAATGTTTCATCTAGGAAAAACATTATAGGAACATTTCATTTCTAGAGAAAATTTACTGTCAAGAAAATAATGATTTCTCATAACTCATTAATGCAGTATTAAGCTTGCAAAAGACAAAGTCAATTGCAGTTTTACAAATACTTTAGTCTCTGTCACCTACAAAATGTCCCATTGCAAGCTAATATTGTAATGAAAAAACTGAAGTATGTGTGTACAGTTGAATACTGTCCTCAGCTGGATCTCAAGGGTCTTCAGGGAAAATATACTGAGTAATAATGTTTTCAGTTGCATATGACCTGCACATAAATCAGAGCATGACATATGAAACTTCATAATTATTCTCCTTTATAACCACATGTTTTGTATAAATATATATATTCTCTTAAACACATCAGTAGATATTGCTATGATATTGTGAGGTTAAACAGTCAAAAGAAAATAAAATGATTTATTGTAAGATATTTTAAAACCTTTTGCTGATTTATTACAGAAAATGTTTTCTTTCTTCATCTCTTTTTGTTCTTTTTAGTAATGCTTTGTTTGCATCAAAACCACTTCATATTTGTTCAGTCTTTTGTGGGGTAGAAATTTAAAAGAAATCTCAGAATCCTCGAAGTTTTTTTATATACTTGCTTTCTGACTACTGAAATTTAAAATGTTTTCATTAATTTTCTCTTCAAAGGATAATTCTGTTAATTTCCTGTAAAACAACTCATCGTAAGACCTTTATTTTTGACAGTAAGAAGATGCAAAATGGTACAGAGTAGAACACATTCCTGAGTTAATGCCCACTGTTTGGTGTGCTGGGTGGGTGGGTGTTTGTGTGCAGTGCTGAAGCGCTCTCTTCTGGTCTCTCAGCAGAAACACATCTTGCAGATGTGTTCCAGATGTTCGTTAGTTCTCAGGGTAGACTGCTGTTCTAGCTTCCTGCTGCTGTGACATACTTGCTGGTAATTCAACATCACCGATTAATAAATTAGTTCATGTTATCTTTCTTTTCCTGATATCATAGAAAATTATGCTATGGTTTCTAATAGAAGAAAAGCATATTCTTAATACAGGGAAAGATAAATCAGTCTCTAACAGTTTAAGAATTCTAGTTACTTAAATTCAGCTATATAAATAACCTTAATCTTAAACCATTTAAATTAAACTTGTAAATACATAAGTTATATAGAAAACCTTTTCTGAGGATTTACTTGAACAATGATAATTGTATTTTTTGTAAGAATGGTATATAGTGTACTTTTAGGAAACTAGGAAGTCTTTTCCTTTTTAATAAAAAATTTAAAGTCCTGAAACCTTCAAGAGTAATATTGTAACTTTTTAAATTAAAGCACTCTTCTTGCACCTTTTAATATGCATTTTTTTATTCTATAAATTTTTATATAAATGTTTAATGTGATACTAAGTTCAATCCCCTTTATACTTTGAGGGTGTTTCAGAAAATTGATATTTTGATATTAACTTCCTGAATTCTACTATGTGGTGACTATATGATTTCTTCTTTAATGTAGAAAGTATCAGTTACTAAAAAAGTATTTTTTTCTTGTTTGTATTTTTTTACTCTAAATTACATTAATTTTGTTTTCTTAATATTAAATTATATAAGTCTTCTTGTATTAGATATGTTTACCAAAGTAGAAATGCATATAAATAAAGCATTTAGCACAGAGTTGAAACACAATAGGTGTTCAATAAATTTCTGTTTCTATAAAACCTATCTGGTAAAATTTGTGAGGATACTACTGTATTGTATTGTATTGTAATTTCACATTGTATCATGTTAAATGGCTCATGATAGGAGGAGCCCATGAAACAGTACACTTTTTACTGTATTTTATTTATTTATTGCTTTTTTTCCTGCTTCCACCAGAATTTAAATAAGTTGAGAGCAGGGGCCTATCTTTTTATTCATCATCTTATCCCCAGGGTCTGTATAGTTCCTGGCACATAGGAGATGTCTAATATATAACTGCACAGTGTTATTGAATAGCTAACATTACCAGTGGCATAAAATTATTACTTTATAAATGTGTTTTATCTTTTACACCTGAAAACAGATCTATAAGCTTTTAGTATTAACTTATAAAATAAGATAGGGTTTTTATTTGACTAATTTAGTATCGGTCACTCAGTATATAATGAGGGAGTTATTGCAGAAGGTCCAGTGACTGGACAGAGATATAATATTTAATCCTTATCCCTAAGAAGATGGCAATGCTTCATGCAATAGCATTTTAAAGGAAGAGGAATGAGTAAGTCTTTTTAGGTAGAGAGGATAGAAAATAAGGCAGAAATATGTGGAATGCATTTTCATAGGCAGAATATTTAAGAGTCCTGTGCATGGTAAATACTCTGTAAGTGTTTAGTGAATTCAGCTTGTTTTGAAGATGCTCAGCCAAAGAGCTCAGAATGGGGGGCTCATAGGCACCTTTACATACCATACTGAAAGGCAAATTTTAGCATTTTAAGTGAATGTCTTACTAACATATTTACCAACATGGGATTCCAATCCTAATAGCTCTTGCTACCCAATTTAGAAAAAAATGTTTCCTGGTTTTTAGGATAATTTGGTATGGGATTCTGGGGATATTTTGGAATATTTATTCCCGGACAATAAAGATAATTTCTTGACAATAATGACATGTTAGGCTTCTGGAATATTAGCAGTGTGGGGTGAAAAGGATCCAAACTAGCTTGGCTGCCATCAGGAATATAAACAAGGAAGCAAATTCCACATCCCAAAGAAAGAAAGAAAGAAAGAAATGGGATTAGGGGATTTAAATTTATGAGAGAAGCCAAAGATTTGTGCTATAAATCTGTTCCATTAAAAGTCAGACCTCTGTGACTTCCAAGTGCCAAGTCGTTTTTCAAAAAGTGATTTCTCATGCTGATGTTAATGTTCCTAGAACATCTCTCTCTCCAATTTTACTGAACATTCACTCTAAAATGATATATAAGTTTCACTCCATGATTTGTTACATTTCTCTGTCAAGCCAAAGTAATGGATTGGATCCTCCAAGTCTATCATGGTGAGAATGATTTTAAAAAGCTACTTGGAGGAGATTTTTTTATTTTACTTAGTAAATCCTTTATTTAAAAGAGTGAAAAAGTGAGCAAGAAATAACTCAGAGAAGCAGTTCTTTAAACCAACTAAATATGAACACATAGAACCTATAGGAATGTTCCCTCTCCCTTCCAGGTACCGCAGGCCTGCACAGTCCCATGGTGGATCTGGATAGTGATGTTCGCCCCTCAGTGTTGGCCCATCTTAGTCAGACAGCATCACTGAAGCGGGGCAGCAGCTTTCAGTCTGGTCGAGATGACAGTAAGTATATCTCTCTATGCCCACTTTGCCTTTTAAATCCCTACTTGTTTAATTTAAAACATTTTTCTCTTGGAAATTTCCATAACTAGTTCTGTTACTACTGCTAAATATTATCAACTGTTGTCTCTTCTACTTATTTATTTTTTTTTGGATAAGCAATTCTTTTATTCATTTACATTTATTTTTCAATACGATGTAAGGTAAGGGTCCAACTATATTTATTTATTTTTTGGTATGTGGATATCCAGTTTCCTCTGCAGCATTTATTGAAATAATTGTCTTTCTCCCACTAGATGGTCTTGGAAGCTTTGTCAATACCATTTAACCACATACTAGTGTAGGAAGGTTGATTTCTGGGCTGTCTATTCTTTTTCATGGAATATACATCTGTATGTATGCCATTGCCACACTGCTTTGATAACCATAGCTTTGTCTTAAGTTTTGAAATGAGGAAGTGTGAGCCCTCTAAATTTCTTCTTTTTCAAAATTGTCTTGGCTATTCACGGTCTCTTGAAATTCTATATGAATTTTAAGATAGATTTTTCTGTTTCTGCAAAAAAAAAAAAATCATTGGGGTTCTGACAAAGATTGCATTGATTCTGTAGATCACTTTGGGTGATATGGATACCTTAACCATATTAAGTCTTCTGATCCATAAACAGAGGATGTCTTTCCATCTATTGGTGTCTTCTTTAACTTCTTTCAGCAACATTTTGTAATATTTTTTTTTAGTAAATCTTTATTGTTCAGATTATTATATTTGTTCCTCTTCCCCTCCCCCATAGCTCCCCTCCACCCAGTTCCCACCCCACCCTCTTCCCTTACCCCCCCCCCCCCACTGTCCTCATCCCTAGGTGCACAATTTTTGTCCAGTCTCTTCCCGCATCTCCCACACCCCTTTCCCCACCAAGAATAGTGAGTCCATTCCCTTTCTATGTCCCTGATTCTATTATAATCCACAGTTCATTCTGTTTATCAGATTATTTATTCACTTGATTCTTACATTCACTTGTTGATAGATGTGTATTTGTTGTTCATAATTAGTATCTTTACCTTTTTCTTCTTCTTCCTCTTCTTAAAGGATACCTTTCAGCATTTCATATAATACTGGTTTGGTGGTGATGAACTCCTTTAGCTTTTCCTTATCTGTGAAGCTCTTTATCTGACCTTCAATTCTGAATGATAGCTTTGCTGGATAAAGTAATCTTGGTTGTAGGTTCTTGGCATTCCTCACTTTGAATATTTCTTGCCACTCCCTTCTGGCCTGCAAAGTTTCTGTTGAGAAATCAGCTGACAGTCGTATGGGTATTCCTTTGTAGGTAACTGAGTTTCTTTCTCTTGCTGCTTTTAAGATTCTCTCTTTGTCCTTTGCTCTTGGCATTTTAATTATGATGTGTCTTGGTGTGATCCTCTTTGGATTCCTTTTGTTTGGGGTTCTCTGTGCTTCCTGGACTTGTAAGTCTATTTCTTTCACCAGGTAGGGGAAGTTTTCTGTCATTATTTCTTTAAATAGGTTTTCAATATCTTGCTCTCTCTCATCTTCTGGCACCCCTATAATTCTGATGTTGGTACGCTTGAAGCTGTCCCAGAGGCTCCTTACACTATCTTCGTATTTTCGGATTCTTTTTTCATTTTGCTTTTCTGGTTGGGTGTTTTTTGCTTCTTCGCATTTCAAATCTTTGCCTTGATTCTTCCGCTCCTCTGGTCTGCTGTTGGGAGTCTGTATAATATTCGTTATTTCAGTCCGTGTATGCTTAATTTCTAGTTGGTTCTTTATCACAACATCGAGGGTCTCATTAGATTTCTTGAGGATCTCAATAACTTTATCGGCAGCTTCTAGACAATTCTTGAGAGACCTTAAAAGTGTGGTTCTGAACTCAATATCCTCCACTGACAGTTTTGTCCTGTTTCTTTGTCTCCGCATTTTTTATGCTTTCTTGGTGCACCCCCTACTGGTGTTTGTGCGTAGTCTTGTTGTAGTTAATACTAGGGGGATTTGACCTCCAGGCCAACTGGCTCTGAGAATCAGCTGTGTCTGCAGTGGGAAAACTTCTGTCCTCTAGAGAGGTGCTAATCTAGCCTTTGCCTGAGGCTATCTGGCAAATGGTTCTGAGCAGGGCTTGGGCGGGGCGGGTTGCAGGGGATCAACAGATGGGGTGGAGGGAACAGTTATGGCTGCTCTCAGTCCCGTCCCCAGAGGCTCTGCCTCTCAGAGTCCCAGCAACAGCTGCAAACCTCGGAGAGAAAGCTGCCCTCGAGTTCCGACCAATGTCAGACAGTCCTGCTTCTCCCGTTTGAGTCTGGGTCCCTAGAGACTCGCCCAGAACTGGAGCTCAGAATCTGAGACTCCCTCCCGATTGAAAACGACAACCGCACCCTCAGCTACCAGCCCACTCCGCGTGTACCTCCGCACCTTTGTATTTTCCGCACTGCGCCTCCTCTGAGTCTCGTATGCTGTTCTCTTTCCTTCTAGTTGAAGAATTTCCCCTCAGCCAGTCTTCCTGTAGTTCTGGGCGATGTCCGTTCCGTCTTTTAGTTGTATTTGTGAAGTGGTTGTTCGAGGCAGCTAACTCCGGTGTTTACCTATGCCACCATCTTCTCTTCTACTTATTAAGTAACTACCCAGTAATTACATTGTACATTAAATACATGCCATTTGATTTCTTAGTAAGTCATTGACCACAGGTCAGTATTTATTCAACATATTTAGTTAAAAGTATAGTTTTATATTTTCTGTGGTTTAATTTTTTAAAATATGCCACAGAAAAAATTCTGTGAGAATTTCAAGGTTAATTTTGCAACAAAAGTAATTTCTGTTGTCAGTACAGAGAAAGACATATTTTCAATGAATTTTAAACTTTTGTTTGGGAAGGACTTATTATTAATCATAAATTATTTGCTATTTTTTTCATAAGATAAGGTATCTCAAATTATAACCATGTTACATTTTTTAATTTTGTAATGTTGATATTTACCTATTGTTTATTTACTTATATAAAATACATTGATTATAATGTAGTGGTGTGCCAATTAGACGCTGTTAATCACTGGTATTTCTAACCTCAATAATAGAAATAAAATAATCCAAATAGAATAATAAAAATACCTTCCGTTATATTAAATTCAAATGCCTCTAAAATTTATTTGGAAGTATTTCATATTATTCTTACAAGTATTGAAGTAGGGAATTTTTTTTAACATTTCATTAATAAATTTAAATAAATGGCCATTATAAGAACACCTTAAAATTAGATGATTCACTTACACTAAATGAAGGGCTTCTATTTGATATTCATTCTTCTTATCCTGTGTGCATTCTCCACCCTGTGCACCAAACAATTGGAGAAGAGAACTGTTTGCTTCTCCCTGCTGTGCTATAATGTGGCCCTGTAAACATGTAGACCTAGAGCCTTACCTTGGAGTGCAGCCCACCAGTTTTTTAAAAAATCCTTCCTTTTCATGTCTACACACTTTACCTCACTCCTTCTCTGTTAATGTCATTCACACCACCAGTTGATATACTAACAGGCTTAAATAAATTAGAAATTGTACTTGAGACTGACTATAATGAATTACATCACCTTGAACAGTTCAAATTTATCCTGCCTGGGTTTTGTCAAGCTTCTTTGATCTATTTTATCAAATCCTGGAAATTTTTGTCAAATTTTAAAAAATTTTGGTTGTAATTTTCTCAAATATTTTTCTGTCTGCTTCCTTTTCTGCAACTCCAGTTATGTGTATGTTAGGACAGTAGATTACCTTATAGATCACTCAGGCTCTGTCCCTCACTCCCCATCTGTGTTTCTTTATAGTGTCAGTTGCTAAGCTTTCAACTACTTTAATCTTTTGTCTGCAGTGTCTTAACCTAAAAAATGTCACATACTGTATTTTTCATCTCTAGAAGTTCCATTTGGTTCTTTTAACTATCTTCCCTTTCATTATTTTCATTTAATATTTTAACATTGCCATTACTGGATGATTCTGTCATCTCCACTATTTCTGGATCTATTATTATTGAGTAGTTTTTCTTCTCGTTTCTGGTCGTGGTTCACATTTCCTTGCCTTTCAGCATGGCTAATCGTTTCAGTTTTTTTTATTGTTTCCCAGACTCTGTGACTATCCAATGTTGAGTGTCAGGGATTTGTTGCCTTGCTTTAAAGAATGCTGGACTTGGTTTTACCAGTTGCTTACAGTAAGTTTGACCTATTCAAGGCCTGCCATAGTTGCTAGAGCAAGTCTAGAGTTACCTTCATTCTAGGGAAACTTCAGCTCTACTACTGAGGTATGATCTCTTGGATCACCACTGAATGAGCCAAGTAATTAATGAGGATTGTTCCTTCAGGCTAAGAGCTCTGGGAATCTTGATCTTACACTATATATGCATGGCCTAATAACAATAAAGACTTAAGATGACTCTTATGCAGATTTTTGGAGCTTGGTTTTTCTACTTTGCATAATTCTTCCCTGCATTTCCCATTCACCTCCTTGAAATTCATCTTTCTACCTCAGAAAGGCCACTGACCTTTATTTAGGTTACTCCCTTTACCTTGTCTAGAAATTGCCTGCAGGCAGAAAGCCAGGGCAAATGTGGACTCACCACCCGTTTCCCTTTTCTGTTGTTCACTGTCTCAAAACAGTTGTTTATAACCCCCCCCCCCCCCCACACACACACACACAGTTTTCTAGTTGTTTATGACTGCGGGTTAAACTCATGTCACGTTACCGTTAGTACTGGCCGTTTAATTGCAGGAGGCCTGCACTGTTTCGTATAGCTGGTGAGCATCATGGACAGACCTCAGAGCGCAGCTGCAGAATTAGCACACAGTGACAATCAGTAAAAGTTTGCCGGTTGAACAAGTACAACTTTGCAGTCTACCCTAAGGAAGGAGCCATGCCTTTCCCATATGTGACAGCAGAATATAAAGCATTCCCAACAACTCTTAACATAGACCAAAGACTAACATGCCCAATAAGTAAAGAGACTCTACAGGCCACAAAAAGGCAGTTTAAGCATATCTGAGTAGGTACTCAACTTCAGTCATAATAAAAACTGAAAAGGCATTGTAACACTACAGTGAGATGCTGGCTTCACAAAAACCACCAGTGTTTATGGTTTTGGGTCTTCTGTGTTCTATTTGTTCATTGCTAAGGTTCTAAGGAACCTGTAGCTTGCATGTGTTTCTTATGGGTGTGTAACTAGTCCCCAGAGTGGTCAATGTAAAATACCTATCGAAACTACAACTCTGTGTACCCTTGAACCCAGCAGTTCCTTTTCTGAGAATGTATTCTATACTGATGCAGACAGTCCCCTACTTAATGATGGTTCAACTAAACAATATTTCAACATTACGATGGTATGAGAGCAGTTCACATTCAGTAGAAACCATATTTCGAATTTTGAATTTTGGCTTTTTTCCCCGGGCTAGCAATGTGCAATCTGATACTGTCTTGTGATGCTCGGCAACAGGGTGAGCTGTGGCGCCCAGTCATCCAGGCAGTCATGAGAGTAAACAACCAACACTACAATATACCATGTTGCCAGCATTTTGTTTTATTTTTTGGATATTGGCTTCTGAGCACGTTTCACGTAGGTGAGACTAAGTTTTAACATTTGTTAGGTTAGGTGTATTTAATGCATTTTCAACTTACGATATTTTCAACTTAAAATGGGTTTAAGGGGATGTAACCCCATCGTAAGTTAAGGAGCATCTGTGCTTGCACATATGGCTAAATGATAAGGTATACCTTACTGGTTGAAACATTAATGTTAACTGGAAAAGATTTCGAACAGTCCTATCCAGTAGGAGGGGACTTACTAGTAGTACTTAGTAAATTATGATACTTCCAGAATATGAACTACTATGTAACGGAGGGAGGGAGGAGAGGATATAGAAGAATCTAGCATTCATTGTTAAATGAAAAAAAGCTGTGTTTTTAGTATGCTTTCACTTGGGGGGAGAATACATATTTCTGTTTGCCTTTGTATATAAAAGACATTTCAGAAAGAATCACAAAAAACTAGTAACGGTGATTTCTTATGGCTGGAGTTGTGAACTGGACAATGGGGGACAAGGGTGGGTGGTAGACTTCACTGTATATCTTTTAACTTTTCTCGCCATATATTGTCTATTTAGAAAATTGTTAAATATTGGAAAATAAATAAAATCCATCCTTCTCCTACTAGAATAGCATCGATAATAACAAACCACAAAACATTTTGCCTGGGAGTATTTTGAAAGTAAGCCAGTAGTTGATGGAGGATGAAAGTTCCCTTTCTTAACCTGCTTTGAAGTTGCTGAGTAAAAGTTAGAAGTTGACTCCAGAAGCACTCCTCATCATTGTTGTGAAATTGGACAGTGAAAATGCCTCTGTCTTGCTCCTGTTGGAGGCTCAGAAGCAGAACCCCAGGCCCAGGGAACAGGGTGTGGAGGGAAGAAGAAACAGGCAAGAGCATGATATAGAAAGATGGGAGAGGCTAGGAAGTGATTAATGCTCACTAAATTACTACTACTTTACTTTTTATTCCCACAGAGTTACCCTTCCCATAAGAAATCTATAAAGACCTTATTCCCCACTTACTACAATAATCACATTAAATTATATGTAAACCAAGAGGCTTCAACATTTTTATATTTGCTTACATGTCTTTGTTATGGGAGGAGTTATTAATTACATGATTGTGTTTGAATGTGCTCCTTTGTGATAATTTGACTTCTTACTGAATTTTCACTACATAGGGTGTCTGGTGGCATTCTAATAAGTTGATATTAGCTTCAAATTTAAATATTGGTTGTGGGCCAGCCCTGCCTGTGCCTTACTTTGCTGTTTGAAGGCATGACTTTTTAAAGAGAAATGTAACATCCCAAAGACAACAAGGTTGAAAAGCCAAAGCAACTTCCTCTGTGAAGTCCTCCCTGTTGTGTCCTCTTGACCTGCATGTCCTTCCCCTGCCTGCCATGCCCAATGAGAAAGCCGAGACCTCTGCGGAGAGTGTGCTGTCTGTGCTGGCAGGCGGTTGTGGTGTGACAGAAGAATAAAATATTGGTCTTTCAGCATATTAAAGCTCTGCAGCCAAAGTGGAGCACATTTTTAGATGGGGAGTGGAAGTATGTTTAAACAGATTTTTATTCCTGTTTCAAAAGTATGGTCATGGTATTTTATTCTTTTCCCCTTAGCATGGAGATATAAATCTCCCCACCGGGTAGCATTTGTTGAAAAATTGACCAAGCTTGTTTTAAGTCAGCTGCCTAATTTCTGGAAACTCTGGATTTCATATGTTAATGGAAGCCTGTTCAGTGAGGTATGTATACAAATATGACAATTGATGAAGGCGAATCATTGTGAATTTCTAGTCTTAAAAATTTTAGATTCTGAAGTGACTTGTTTTGTTTTTAATCCTCACCAGAGGATATTTTTTCCCATCGCTTATTGGGGGTTTGGGGGAGGGAGAGAAAGAGAGAGACAGAGAGAAACATTGATGTGAGAGAGACACATCAATCGGTTACCTCCCACACACACCCAGACCAGGGCTGAGATCAAACCTGAAACCCAGATACATGCCCTTGATCTAGAATTGAACCCGAGAACCTTCAGTGCGCAGGCTGATGCTCAACCATTTAGCACACCAACCAAGTCCTGAAGTGACGTTTTTAAAACCTTAAGGGCCCAATACCTATAATAACTATTGTCAAATATTTTAAGATTAATTAAAAGCACTGTAAAGCTCCAATGCTTAATAGTTGTATAATTTTGAACAAGTTAATTGTTCTGGGACTCAGTGTCCTCAACTGTAAAAAGAAAATATTGAGTGTATCTATTTCAAAAGGTGATTATGATGATTAAATGAGATATTCAATTAAAGAAAAAAAGAAAATTTGAAATATTTTCAAGGATTCTGAAATAAGTATAGTGTTGGGCAAAATTCTGGGTGAAATTGTGCAGCGGACTATGAACATATGATAAATCAAAGATAAAATGCTTTTATAGCTTGCACACAGGTTCGAAATAATTCATATAATTAAATGATTTCCTAGTTGGAAAGAATTTAAATATTTTTGTTAGCCCTCAATATGGTCATTCTGCAGAAGTTCTTATATTTTCACAAGTCACATATTTACTTAGTTTCTTAGTCATAGCATAATTGGTAGCATAGAAGTTACGATTTCTATGTATAGCACCTGGAACTTAGATTTACCACTCTAAAGCAGGGGTGGAGAACCTTTTTTCTGCCAATAGCCATTTGGATATTTATAACATCATTCGTTTAATATAATTCACTTAATATAAGTTTATGTTCCTATGCAAAGCTCCTAGATTTATTAAATTTCAAGTCCCACCTTGCAGGTCCAGACCAAATGATTTCATGGACCTTATACGGCAGGCAGGCTGGAGGATTCCACCCCTGCTCTATATTCTCACTGCAAGTGCCCAATGAATGGGCCCTAGGTCCTGGAATATACACTGTAATGCCCTTTGCCTCCAGCTGCTAGGAAAACCCCACTTGTCACACATGCAGAAGGCAGTTCTGGCTTCTTGTCTCCAGAGAGAACTCTTTTATAGCCCTGTGAGCTGGGGATATAGGGATCCTCCTGATGGTAAAGCTATTTCCTGCTTCTTTTGCACTTGCTCCCACTGTGGCTGCTAAGCTGAGCACAGGTTTGGGTTTCTTTCCCTCTCCCACAGTGGGGGTAGCTTCACCGCTCACATAATGCCATAGCTTCCTCTCTTAATCTGCTCCCTCTCGAACTCAGATTGCTTATATAAGGATTAGAAAGGTTAGGTGCTGCTATATCAGTGCTATGGGCAAATAGTGTTCGAATTTTTTCTTATGGAACACTAGTGTTGAATGAGAAACACCCAGTATTTATCACATATTAATTGCGACCTTAGCAATAACTTTACTTCTCTGTGCCCACTCCACAGGGCTGGCTTGAGAATTGAATGAGTTAGCAGAAATTATGTACTTATTACAGTATCTGGAAAATAAATAAGAATTTGCTCTTATTATTTGGAATAAAAATTTATCTAAAAGTCATTGTCCTGGTACATAATAGGTATTCAGTGAACAAAGTTTAATAGCATTTAAGAAATACTAGACTGATGAACTACTAGGTTAGTATTGAATAATGTCAAGATAGGTGAACTCATCTGAAGAATTATTTCCTTAGGAAATGGATTTTAGACCTAGTTTTGTTTTGTTTTGTTTTCCAGCCAAGTGTTTTTTTTCCTTCCAATTGGATCAGTTCCAATAGGTCAGGGGTGGGAAACCTTTTTCTACCAAGGGCCATTTGGGTATTTATAGCATCATTCTCAGGTTATACAAAATTGTCAACTTAAAAGTTTGCCTGCTATATTTGGTCAAACATTTAATTAACTCATCTCTAATGCCTTGGCAGGGCCAAACCAAATGATTTCTCAGACTGGATGTTCCCCACCCCTGCTATAGGTAGACCACACATCCACAGAAGTTGCCTTATTCTGGTTGTTTTTAGAGTTTGTAAAATTCCCACATATTTTTGACCTGAGATATTTTAGGGAAGGGAATACATTTTCCTTCCTTATAGGTTATACCTAGTTGTGAAATAAATAAGCTACTTCTGAACTCAAGAACATTAGTACTGAAAAAATGGTTTTAATTAGTTGTATTGAGTTGGATATGCTTATGGTATTTCTACCTATTCATATTTATAAAATGTTCTTAAAAGTTTATAGTAATTATTAAATACTAGAGGCCCAATGCATGAAATTCATGCAAGGTGCTCGGCACTTGCAGCCCCGGCTTAGTTAGGAAGGTCGTCCGGAAGGACTTCCAGTCTCATTGGCATATTACTCTTTTATTATTATAGATAATTTATCTACAAATTTGGGTATGTTTTTAAACTACTCTCTATTAAAAAGCTAGAAAGACACCAAAGGGCAGTAGAAAGGGATGGATGAGTTAGGAAAGTGTGTCTACCATTTCAGTCTGTGAGTGAGATCTAGAAACGTAATAAAATTAAAATTGGGAAGAGTTCTGGGCTTTTAATAGTTGCTATTTAATCTCATAAAAGAAAGCGCTGTAATATTGAAAAACCTCAATTTACTTGAAAATTCTTATTTTCTTGTTATAGAATTATTTTGTTTTATTAAGAGCCCATCCGTTGAAGATTTAGATGGAGTTTTCAACAGTTTAAAAAATAGTCAGTTCTTCAAACCAGTCAAGCCCATGTGAAGTAACTTATGTGAATCAAAACAGTGAAATCTAGCCGTTGGTCTCACCACAAAGTAGTTTTGGTCTGTGTGTGCAGGAAAGAGTTAAGGTTTTTAGTTAACGAAATGGTTAATAGTAGGTTAAGATCTCATCTTTAGATATATTTTAAAGACAGTGTATTTTGGGGTGAAAAATTTTAAAGCATCCAAATAATTTTTAAATAGTGGGAATCAGAATTTTTAAAAGTAAATAGCACTTTATGTTCTAAAATTGGATTAAAAAATAGAACAAACCTTACAAAATTCAGTATATTGGAGGTGTTTAATTCATTAGATTAAAACAATAAGTTATTTTTTTAATTAACAGTTGCAAAAGGTATGCCTTATAACTAATTCCCCTATCCCTTCCATTTTTCATGTATTTTGAGACAGGTTCTTGAGGTTTATAAAATTATTCTGTGCAGTAGATGGCATATGCATTCATTAGTACATGTTTGGTGGACAAAATTGTTTGGGCAAAATTTAGCCTTAATTCTAGTATGATGTATTTTAATAATTGATTCTCACTTTTTTCTTTGATTTGAAACTATTTCACAAAGGACTATGAAATAATCTTCCCATTGAACGAGCCCACTTTGTGAAAAGTTCAGTCTTAGGTACTATAGCAGATACAACTAGAAAAGACACCATTTGACAGTCAAGATACTTAACAATTTAATACTGGTATGACCCTTCATTGAGACAAGTGACACCTTACTTTCAGAGTTCCATCCCTTCCTCCACCACACACTAAATGCGGTCGGTATTAGGGTTCAGAGACACAGAACCAATACCCTATATCAACCGTATATATCAAGAGAAAGAGACTTTGAGGAATTTGCTCATATGATTATGGAGGTTAACAAGTCCCACTATCTGCTGCAGTCAGCAAGATGGAGACTTAGGAGAGCCCACTGTATAGTTTCTATTCGAGGGCCAGCAGGCTTGAGACCCGGGGATTGCCAATGTTTCCGTTCTAGTCTGAGGGCTGGAAAAGGCCAGTGTCCCAGCTCATGCAGTCAAGCTGTAAGAATCCCCCCTTACTTTGGTCTTTTTGTTCTATTCAGGCCTTCCACTGATTGGATGAGACCGACACTGAGGAAGGCAAGCTGCTTCCTTCAGCCTACGAATTCAAATATTAATCTCACCCAGAGACACCCTCACAGACACACCCAGAGTAATGTGTAACCAAATTTCTGAGTCCCCATGGCCCAGTCAGGTTGACACAAAGAATTAACCATCACTAAATCCTTAACATAGATTTCCCAGTACAGGATGCCTGTGTTCTGTGCCTCCTGACATCGCAGTAGGTGCTGGGTTCCTCAGCAACATCTGAATTCCACATCTAAAACAGTCCTCCCAACCCCCAGGAGTCACACAAAATTCTTAAACCTCTGGTCCTCCCTTTTGTTGACATCTTAAGACTCCAGGAGATGCATTGGGTCTGATGGACATTTCAGGAGCATATCACAGGGTTATGCCCCATGCACTTTCAAAGGGTCAGTCTTCCAAGTGGCAACTCAGGACTTGAGGTGTTCTAAAGGCCTTTCGATGAACCCAGTAGCATTCAGGACTGTCCTGCTTTCTGATATGTATTCCAGGATGTTCTGAAGAACTCTAACCCTTCGTGATACTTCATTCACCAAATATTTATTGAATGCCCTTAGTAGCCTCTATGTGCCAGGTATTGAAACACACACACACACACACACATACATGTACACATATAATACACAATTTTAATATACATACATACAATATGATTAAAATAGTGACCAATGCAAATATGACCTCTCTACTCCATCCTAAATTTTTGAACATCTATAATAGAAACAAATAGAGTCTTAAGTTAAAGAACATCCTATGATATGGAGATCAAGGAAGGTCTCTGAGGAGATGATATTGAAACTGAAACTTCAAACATGAGGAGGAAACAGCCTCACAAAGGATCAGGGGAAGAATGCACAGAGAGAGCAGCACACGCAAAACTGAGGACAGGAGCTTGGCAAAAGAAAGTCACAGCATCCAGAGTATACTCAACAGTGGGCGGGTTTACCAAGAGAAGCAAGAGCTGAGGTTGAGGAGCTGGCAGGGTAAAGAGTTTGTATTCTAGGTGCTGTGGGAAGCCATAGAAAAACGTTAAGTGGTGGAGTTACCTGACCAAGTTTTTCAGTTTTAAAAGGACCACTCTGGTTGCCTGCTCAAGAATGAGTTGGCAGGGCCAGAAGTCAAGGCGGGGATGCTCTTGAGGCCATCCAGCCAGGAAACAGTGGTTGTATTAAGGTTTTGTTGGTAAAGTTGAAGAGAAAATTACAGATTTTATTTGTATTTTGGAAGTAGGTTTAACTGGACTTACTGATGGATCACATGAGGTTGACGAGGACAGGGATTCAGATAAAGCTCCCACAGGCTCCCAAGTGAATAGGTACGCCATTTGTATAGTCAGAAAGATTTGAGAAAGAACATAGCTGGAGGAAAATATCAGTTTTTTATTTTAATGTTTTGAGTTTGAAATTCCTGTGATTTATTCAAATAGGAAATCAGAAATTCAAATTGTCAGAAGAAAAATTTGGGCTATATATATAAATTTGAAAGTGTGAGATATAATCTATAATGATAAAAGCATAATATGCTAATTAGACCAGACGAAACTGGGGCTGCGAGGGAAGCCCAGGTCCCGGATACTAGAAGGAAGCTTTTGCTGGCAGCTGGGGGAAGGAAGGCCTACTCTTGCACGAATTTCGTGCATCAGGCCTCTAGTTTATAATAAATATCTATTTTGTCTTCATCCTGGCACAGAGCTCTTAAAATCCTTGGAATTTCTGCAGTGAGGACTAATAAAGGTATCTTTTGTTATGTTGTTGAAGTGGCTTAGGTCCCCACCTAAGGATGAGGTACTCATTGCCCAGACACCAACCACGTAATTAGATGGTTGGAACTTTCACTCCAGACCTCCTAAGTAGGTGGAGACTGAGCTTAATCACCTGTGGCCAGTGATCAACAGAGCCTTCATAAAACCCCAAAAGGAAGGGTTCGGAGAGCTTCAGGTTGGTGAACACATGGAGATTCTGGGAGTGTGGCCTGCTCAGAGAGGGCATGGAAGCTCTACATCCTTTCTCCATACCTTGCCCTGTGCATCATTTTCATCTGTCTGTTCCTGAGTTATATTCTTTTATAGTAACTGGTTATCTAATAAGTATCACATTTATCTGAGATCTCTGAGACATCCTAACAAATTATTGGAACCAAGGAGGGGTTAGTAGGAACCTCTAGTCTGTACCCAGTCAGTTGCAGTCAGTTGACAACTTGGGCTTATGATTGGCATCTGAAGTTTTGTGTGTGTGTGTGTGTGTGTGTGTGTGTGTGTGTGTGTGTATTGGGGAGAGGGTAAGTCTTATAGAACTGAACTGTTAACTGTGGAATCTGACTCCAGGTAGGGTCAGAATTGAATTGAATTATAGGACACACAGCTAAGACCTGGGGAATTGTTTGTTGGTGTGGGGAACCTCTCATATCCACCTCCCACACACACATTGGAGTTGGGTGCAGAGCCCAAAATAGGAAGGCATTATATAGAAATGATATTTGAAGCTATGAGAATAAGAATAAATTAGTGAGAGAGTATAAAGGAAAAAGAGTAAGTGCTTAAAACCAAAACCTGATAAAACCTCAGCATTTAGAGAATAGTTCTTTATCAGCTCAGCAAGCAGGGACCATGTGTCTGCTTTTCCACACCTGGGCCACTCTTTCACCAAGTATTGTTTTGAATCAGAGCATCACACTGACAGAAACAGAAAGTAGGCTAACAGACAACAGGGCCATTTGGACTTACCTGAGTGGTCATGACTCAGATGGAAGTCACTCTTTATATCTCTCCTTTCTCACTGAAACACCCAGTGGAATGACTGGGTTCAGTCACTTCTGCCTCAGAAGCCTGTAACTAAGCTATCCACAGGGATCCTTTGTGTACCTCTTTTAGCCTGAGACACTGTCATTGCTTCCCTGGGTTAGCACAGCACTCTTCTAGCTGCTCATGCTCCTACCTCTATCCCTCCAGTCACTTCTCACTGTAGCTATAGGGTACTTCAGTTACTTCTCATTTGCCTTAAAAATAAAGGGACAAACCCTGACTGGTTTGGCTCAGTGGATAGAGCGTTGGCCTGCGGACTGAAGGGTTCCAGGTTTGATTCCAGTCAAGGGCATGTACCTTGGTTGCCGGCACATTCCTAGTGGGGGGCGTGTGGGAGGCAGCTGATCAATGTTTCTCTCTCGTCAGTGTTTCTGACTCTCTATCCCTCTCCCTTCCTCTCTGTAAAAAATCAATAAAATATATTAAAAAAATAAAGGGACAAAAACATCAATTTCTGAGTTAAGTCTCAGTATACAAAAAATTGTGAGTGTTGTTTTTCAATAACCTTAGGAATTTGTTTATTGAATTATTACTGAAGTAAATAAATTTGGGGTTTAGTTTTTCTCAAAAACTAAAGTTCAGTTATTTCAAAGCAAAAGTGCATTTCTACAAAGAAAAATGATAAAAGCTGTATATTTTAATATACAATTTTAAATTAAGTGTAAATCAGAGTTGTATATCTGTGTATATTGACCACTTTTTATCAGGTATGTCTGATATTTTTGTTGAAAACATTTGCAGTCCTTACTCTTCTTTCATGTATTCACGTCGGTAATGTTCATTATATAAACCAACTCTATACACTATGTTTCTAGCTTATATATAAAATATATATAACATTACTTACGTTTTAAAATTAAGTTCAAGTCAATATAATCATTTGTAATGCAATTATTCTTAGCATGAAAGTACTTTACTTGTCTTTAACCAATAATACATGAATGCTTTAACTTTAAAGGATAACTTTTGCATTATGTTAATGAGATATGAGAATTTTCTTTTACATTATACTACTTTTTGTTACTGCTTCTTTATTTGGAAAGGTTCCTACGTCTGCCCTTCAAAGGCATTTTATATAATAATATTTAGTTATTAGAAACTTCGGTAATGAAAAGTTAACTGAAATCCAATTGAATAGATTTCTCTCATGAATCAATGCAATGTAGTCATCTACATCTTAAGGAGAAGAGAAATATCAGACGAAATAATGGCTCTCAGTAAACAGGTAAAAATTAATTTTAGAATAGATTTTCTACTAAGGTAAACTGTAAAACCTCTGAAGAAGAGCAATGATTTGTAATTTTTTTAAAAATAAAATGTCAGATATAATACTTTATAAATATTTGTCAAGGGAATGGAATGGATGTCCTGAGATTACTAGATATTAATCCAGAATTTACTCTTTCTTTTATGTCCACCCTTGTCAGTGAGAAATGATTTAGAGAATGTTATCATAGGTATGATACTTTTAGGTTTAAGCATATAAATTTTTTGAAATATATTTTTATTAATTTAGTAGAGGAAGGGAGAGGGAGAAAGAGAGAGAAACATCAAAGATGAGGGAGAATCATCAATTGGCTGCCTCCTGCATGCTTTCCACTGGGGATCGAGCCCGCAACCCTGGGCATGTGCCCTCACCGGGAATCAAACTGTGACCTGATTCATAGGTAGGTGCTCAACCATGGAGCATGCTGATCAGACTAAGCGTATAAAATTTTTAATGAAAATGACATGAAATTTTCCTATAAAAAAGGTAGTCTCAGTTAATACTTAGGTTCATTTATGGGAATTGCACTTAAGGTTTTAGGAAGATGAAAAACTTCTTGTAATAAAAATGGCTTTCTGATTAGTTACTCTTTAATCAGAAATTTAGATTATTTCTTATACATTCCTTTTAAACAAATTATAATCATACTAGAGGCCCAGTGCATGACATTCGTGCACTGAGGGGTGGCTCCTTCAACCCGGCCCTTGTCCTCTCACAGTCCAGGACACCATGGGGGATGTCCACCTGCCACAATGGCTGGAGAGACTCCTGCCACCACCATTGTAGTCACTGTGCTCACCAGCTGTGAGCCCAGCTTCTGGCTGAGCTGCGCTCCCCCTGTGGGAGTGCACTGACCACCAGGGGTCAGCTGCTGTGTTGAGTGTCCCCTGGTGGTCAGTGCGTGTCATAGTGACCAGTTGTTCTGCCATATTTCGGTCGATTTGCATATTAGGGTTTTATTATATAGGATTTCATACTTTTTTATATACAACCCCTAGAGCATTTCTTATTTTTGTAAATTATTTCTAAAAATAAAAGTTCGTTTGTTTTTTAATTTTCAAGACTGCTGAGAAGTCAGGCCAGATTGAAAGATCAAAGAATGTCAGGCAAAGACAAAATGATTTTAAGGTAAGTTAAGGGTAAGTATGTAGACTTTTTCACAAGGTAAGGTTTTTTCAATCATAGTAGAAGACTTTATTTTTTTTAATTCTTTATTAGTTAAGGTATTACAAATGTGTCCTTATCCCCTCCCATTAATTCCCCCCCCCACTCATAGTAGAAGACTTTATGTTCAAGATATTCATCATAACTCAAGCAGAATCCTTCGATTTATTTATTATTGTTTAGAAAATGATTCAGGAAGTAATGCAGAGTCTTGTGAAGCTGATCCGTGGAGCACTACTCCCACTTAGCATCCCAGAGGGTGGAGTAAGGCAGTATGGAGGCTGGGAGGTGAAGTCTGAGCTCTCTGGACAGTGGCTCGCTCATGTCATACAGACCATAAGGTAAATATGGACACATTTTCCTAAAAAGGATAAATCTTTTTTACTGTTAAAAAAAATACTCATGATGTGATATGATTTTTAATACATTTTACGAAGAATTTTACTTTGTGCCCTTTGCATCCACTGTTTCCCATGTGTCATCTAGCAGTCCCTTAAACCTTCCTGGTCTTACATTTGATATGCATCCTGTATTGTTTAATTTTTGTTACTGTTATAATCCCTCTTATGGTCTTACTTTTACTTTATTTTCAACATAATATTGTAGCTTTTAAGCTCCATAATGAATCATTCATTATAGGATGACCAAAATGATGACAGGGGGCTGCTTTGTGATTGCACTCCACTCACTCACTTTTTTGTTGTTGTGTTTATTTTACAGGCTTACTTATGAATCACTGACTGCCCTTGAAATTCCTAATGACATGTTACAGACTATCCAGGATCTCATTTTGGATCTCCGAGTACGTTGTGTAATGGTCACATTGCAACACACAGCAGAAGGTATGTTAAGAAAAATTGATGACATTTACTAGACAATGATTACCTGAATATCTCCCTCTTTCTAGCTTCCAAATCCTTGAAACAAGAAATTACTTTTATGGAAATTTGAATATTTTAGACCATCTGTCTAAAGAATGCTGCTCAATAGAATTCTTTCAAAAGTAATTTTTCAAAAACTTGAGATACCAAGCCATGCAGAAATAAAGATGAATATACTTGAAAACTTTTTACGTACATAAAAACATCCTTATTTTTAAAAGGCAAATACTAGGTAGAAAAAGTAAAATATAAAATGTATATAAAGTATTATGCCATTATTAAAAATATATATCTGTGTTTTAAAAGTTTAATTTAGAAATATCAATGTAAAATCAGAAGACTGTTAACAGTGGTTCTTCAGGAAATAGAAATTATAAGTGATGATCATTTTCTTTATACTTTCTAGAATTTGGGGGATTTTTACCTACAATTACAAAAGAACAATTAAGATTATCTTTTTAATAAAGCTACTCTTTTTTTTAAGTTCTTTATTGTTTAAAGTATTACATAAGTCTCCTTTTTCCCCCATTGACCTCTCCCCAGCCGCTTCCACCATCCAGCACATGCATCTCACCCCCCCTGCTGTCTCAGAGCTACTCTTTTGGTATTAAATATTTTTTTAAAAATTCAAAAATGTTATAAATGACATAAACCATTACTATCTACCATCAGGACTATCATCATTAATTTCTATTAGTACAGAATTTGTACTAATGCACTCTATAAACAGAAAGGGAATGGAATCAGGTGAGAAACTGAATAGTGTCCTCTTAATTCATTACCTCCTCCTCTCAGGGACCTGAAACAGACGCAATGGTAAAGGCATTCCTTTAGCCAAGTGAGAATAAGACTGCCATTGTCAGGAATGTAAAGGATTAAAACAGAATCTACATTGTTTATTAGAAATTTTAGGGGGGAAATATTAGATAGTTATCAAGAGTGCTGAATAAATATAAATTATCTAAAGTTATTATTAAACCTAGCCTCGCGTTCTCCAAATTGGGTTATGTAGTCAAAAATTTTCCTTACAGTTGATCTCTTATATGCATGCATATAAGCATAACCAATGGACATAAGACAATGGAGGGTAGGGGAGGCCAGGGGATTGTCAAGGGTGGGGGAAAAAGGAGACATATGTAATACTCTTTGTAATACTTTAAGCAATAAAACAAACAAACAAACAAAAAAACAAACCAGCAAATAAAATCTCAGAAGGAAGTTAAAAAATATATATAAATAAAAAAATAAAATAAAGTATAATTTGTGTTTATCTCCCCCCAAAAAATAAAAAAATAAAAATAAAATTATATTTAAAAATTTTTTTTCCTTACATTAATGTTTTATTAGAAAAATCTAGTGAATAATTCACATTTAAATCCTTGAGTTAACCAGAATTATATTCTGTACCTATTTTCACCAATTTTTTACAAACCTGTAAAAAACAATTAAAAACCATAACCCATACATTTTTATCTCTATAAAGTTCAGTGAAATAACCACAATAAAAAGTACTTGTGTGTGTGTGTGTGTGTTCTCCCTATAGAAATAAAGAAATTAGCTGAAAAGGAAGACTGGATTGTCGATAATGAAGGGTTGACTTCTCTAGTAAGTTTAAATTCTTTTAAATGATGACTCATTAGTGTATATTATATTCAAAATAAATGATTTATTATATTAATATGGAGCATGCGCTTTCTGTATTACAATTCCAAATAGTTTCTGGAAAGAGAAATATAAATTTCTTAAAGTTTTCTTCTCAGAGTCATTTTTGCTGAACCACACATATTTAAAAATTAATAAAAAGTAGATTTTTTTAGAATAACCATTTTTCATTGTAGCACTATTTTTGCTTGCATTGCATTTTTAATAGATTATGCTTAATTCTAAGTTACCCAGCAACTTGAATTTTTCATAAAAGCAGGATAAAAAAAAAATGCTTTTGCTGACTTCTGAGCCAAAACAACAACGTCGAAGTTCTCCAGATGCATGCACATGCCAGGTAGCTGTGATCTTCATTCAGAAGGATCATCCTCTTTTCATATGGGACTTTTAAGTTTTCAAGATAACTTTAAAAATAGTTTTCATCATTTATCGTGTCAGGTTTCTCCCCCCCTCTATTATCACCATTTTTCCCACAAAGTTATTACAATGTTATTGACTGTATTTCCTGTGCTGTACATTATATCCCCATGATTTTTTTTAGTCAGGTTGTTGAGAAGCAGTAATCTCATGAAACATTACATTTCCTCGAATTTCTGCACTTTTTATTGACAATATTCCTTTGAGAGTTGAAGAATTTTTGACAAGTTGAAATTATTCCTCTGTTTCTCCAAAGCCAAGGTTCCTTCTTAAGTTAATAAAAATATCTACAGTACACCTTCCTTTGTATGTAACAATGTGATTTGGAACAGCAGTGTTTCCACATTTTTGTAAATTAAATCATGGTTGAAATTAAGGGAACTTATTATTTTCAATAATTCCATTGTGATTATATTTTAAAGGAATAATTTTTTATAAATATCTGTTTTGATTCATTTGGTTTATTCTATTTTTCATAATGATTTGTATATAAATACAAAAGAGGAAAGAGTATGGGCAGACCTTGCACTATCCAGCATGGCAGCCACTTGAAACGTGCCTCATGTAAAATACACATCAGATTTGAAAATACTCTCAAAGGTTCCAGCTTTGAGTATTTTTAATTTAACTAACTAAAGCTCTTAGACTTGGACTGACTACAAAAAGAAAGAATGTAAAATATCTCAACTTTTTATATTACATGTTGAAATAATATTTTGATATATTTCATTACATAAATTATATTAAAATTGTTTTTTTCTTTTAGTTCTCTTAATGTGGTTACTGGAAAATCTGAAATTGTATACATGGCTTGTGTTTCTGGCTCAAATTATTACTTCTGTGGGACAGCACTGGTGTAGTGGAACAGGTACTGCAGTGGATCTAGAATCCTAGTCTGGTTCAGTCCTGAATTCTGCTATATCATAGCTTTGCAGTCTTAAAGAAGCCACTTAACCTCTGCCCTAGTTAAAGAAGCAGAGCACTTTTTCACGGTGTTGCTAGTTAAGATTAAATGGACACTGTAGAACAAAGCTTTCTACACATATAAAGGAGTTTCATTTATAAATTCATAACTATAATACTGAGGCCACTATAATAGAATAGTATCTTCAGTTTATGTTATGCCTTAATATTTTCAGAGCTATTTCATAGAACCCTATCCTGCGTAATTATCACAGAAAATCTGAAATATAGGCTAAAGTGGATCATTAGACCATCATACACTGAAAAACTTACTGCAGATGAAATAAGCCAAGACAGATTAGACAGAAAGTTACCTTTGATGCTGTTTTTTTTTTTTTTTTTTTTTTTTTTTTTTTTTTTTTTTAATATATTTTATTGAGTTTTTACAGAGAGGAAAGGAGAGGGATAGAGAGTTAGAAACATCGATGACAGAGAAACATCGATCAGCTGCCTCCTGCACACTCCTATTGGGGATGTGCCCGCAACCCAGGTACATGCCCTTGACCGGAATCAAACCTATCCACTGAGCCAAACCGGTTTTGGCCGATGCTTGGTTTTTGATTTGTGTTTCAGATAAGTTTTGTGGAAATGAAAATAATATATATATTTAATTTGAGAAAATGAGCATCTGTTTACAGTTTTTACAGTTTCCATAAATAAAACAAAACTTAGCAATAAAACAAGTATTAGCTTTATGTCCTTCTTTAGGTTACTGTTTCTTGCACATACAGCCCAGAATGTGTTTACCTGATAGCTGTCACACCTGGGGTCCCAGTGTGTGCTTACCTGATGACTGCCACATCTAAGATTGTTTGAGTAGATAAGCCTCTTTGAAAATGCTTTGAAATGGTTACTATAAAAATTGTTTGTAGTCAACTTAAATTTTAAGTATAATAGTAAGAAACCATAACCTCTTATAACTAACTTCATGTTTGATCTCACACACACACAAGCCAAAAAACTAAACCCACCACAACCTGTAGATGAATGACCTATAGGAAGTTGCACTCGTGGGGTCAGCCAGTCCTTCTAGTCAAATGTTGAAGAAACATACTAACATGATAGACTTAATGAAGCTGAGCACAGTTTTAACTATTCAGCATGAACCTCACTTAAGAGAGAAAGTGAATCAGTGCTTAGAATAAAGTCTAGGTTCCAGCTTTGAGTATTTTTTCCTTAACTACCTAAAACTACTTAACAGTGACTTAAATTATATGCCTGTAATTTATATTTCGTTTACATTTCTGTAATACCAGTCTTGTTTGTTTGAAATGAAATTATGTTTTTCTTTCCCTGTGACTGGGATGGGAAAATGTTCCTTAAAGGAATTAACATTAAGCTTTGCTTCATTATGACTATTCTTTCAGCTCAAGTATTTTTTTCAATTTGAACTTCACGTAAGTGTTCTGAAGTAGCCTGTTTGAAAGCATCCTGTGTTTTTTTTTTTCCTGTTGAAAAAATTTTTTGCCTTTTTAAAATGTGGATAATTCTGATAATTTTCTTCCTCCAGAAGAACTGAAATGATTTTTTAAAATATATTTTAATTGATTTTAGAGAGAGGGGAAAGGAGAAGGATAGAGAGATAGAAACATCGATGGGAGAGAAACATTGATCGACTGCCTTCTGCACACTCCTACTAGGGACTGAGTCTGCAACCTGGTCATGTGCCCTGACCAGGAATCAGACTTGTGACCTCTGGGTTCTTGGGTCGAAGCTCAACCCCTGAGCCACACCGGCCCAGCAAGAACTGTAATAATTTGTGGTAATTCCTTTTGGTCAGCTGAATTGGTAATTCACTGACACAGAGATAGTACTGTGTCCTTTTAGAAAAAAAAAAATAGCAGATGTAGCCAAACCGGTTTGGCTCAGTGGATGGAGCGTCGGCCTGTGGACTGAGGGGTCCCAGGTTCGATTCTGGTCAAGGGCATGTGCCTTGGTTGCGGGCACATCCCCAGTGGGGGTGGTGTGCAGGAGGCAGCTGGTCGATGTTTCTCTCTCATCGATGTTTCTGACTCTCTATCCCTCTCCCTTCCTCTCTGTAAAAAAAAATCAATAAAATATATTAAAAAAAATAGCAGATGTTTATCATTTACTTTCCATTGAAGTGAAACTATTCATTGGGATCTTTGGTATTTTCTATCCATTTATTGTATTCATCCTATATAATAAAAGCCTAATATACTAATTATCCAGTCGTTTTTTCAACCAATCAATGCGTAATATACTAATGAATGCTGAGGCTGTTCAACCACTTGCCATGATGCGCGCTGACCACCAGGGGAATCCAACTGGTAGGCTAGCTTGCTGCTGGGGTCTGGCCGATCGGGACTAAGCGAGATAGGCTGGACACCCCTGGAGCCCTCCCACTGTCCCTCCCTGGCTGGCCAACCTCCATGGCCCCAGTCATGCATCGACTGGGTACCTCACCCTAGCCTGCATCCTCTCACAATCCGGGACCCCTCAGGGGATATCAGAGAACTGGTTTCAGCCCCATCCCACAGGCCAGGCCAAGGGACCCCACTGGTGCATGAATTTGTGCACCGGGCCTCTAGTATAGATATAAAATAAAAATAAGAAAACCTAGTTCATATTTTAATACAAGAAATCTCAACCACACATGTGAACTTCAACATTTAACTATCCACAGTTGAATGTTGAATTTAATTCTATTACTATTTTAACATTTTAGATTTTCATTCCTTTTGAGTTCGGTACATTGAATGGATAAAATCACGTATCTAATAAACATTTTGACTCTAAATACTCTCTGTGCAGTTGTTATTTCATCCTATAAACTTCACTAGCTATTTTTTTTTTTGGTACTTCTACTTTTTAAGTATTTTATGGTGCCCTCTGGCAGTTGCCAAATGTAGTATTAAAATGCATTAAAGGCACTATTTTAGCTTTCATTAAGTCTGGGTTCCTTTTTATAAGAAAATAGGCTTGTCTCCCCTCCCCCCATACACACACACACACACACACACACACACACACACACACACACTATATACAGGTGTCTCTTTCTTCTCCCCCCCCCCCCCCAACTCTTTTAACGATTGAAATGTCTATTGAGGAGAGATTCTGACTGCTGATTTTTGCACAGAGCTGATTTAATTGGTCTTTGAGCCTTGCACAGTTCCACACCACTGGATGAAATCTGGACCTTAGCTTCATCTCTTGCCCTCCAAGCTCATGCTCAGTGGTTGTGATATACTATGGCTCCTCAGCCACGCCAGGTGGCCTAGGCACATATTGTCCTCCTCCCCAACTCACATCCTCCTTCCTTTTTCTTTTTAGAGGCTGGTTCCTCTTGTTCTTCAATCCTCAGCTGAAATGTTTTCACTGTCTCAGAGGGGCCTTCTTTAGCCATCCTATTTAGAACAGATCCCCCTCCATCACCAGTTTCCTCTTAGTTCTACTTATTTACTTCATGACAATAAGTTTGGGATTGCATTTGTCTTACTTCTGTACTTTTGACTTGTTTTAGCAAAAAGTAAGAGTTTTGTTGATTCTTTTATGGTTAGTGTCTCCCTAGAATATACATTTATTGAGAATTCTGGCTGTCTTTTATATTCCTATCACCTGGAAAATGCCTAGCACAAAGTAAAACCTTAAATGCAATTAGAAGCTAAGATGTTAGGATTCATTCAAATTTTTCTTGAATACCATTTGCTGTGCATTTTTCAAGTTTCATTTTCTGATATAATGTATGTAGAAAATGACAATAATGGCTTTTTAAGTTAAAGATCTTGGTCTCTTCAAGATCATTATTAACATTAAATTTTCTTGAACAGTACCAGAAATGTGGAAGATCTAAGACAGTGATGGCGAACCTATGACACACGTGTCAGAGGTGACACGCAAACTCATTTTTTTGGTTGATTTTTCTTTGTTAAATGGCATTTAAATATATAAAATAAATATCAAAAATATAAGTCTTTGTTTTACTATGGTTGCAAATACCAAAAAATTTCTATATATGTGACACGACACCAGAGTTAAGTTAGGGTTTTTCAAAATGCTGACACGCCGAGCTCAAAAGGTTCGCCATCACTGACCTAAGAGGTGGAGCTACCGAAATCGGTTTGGCTCAGTGGATAGAGCGTCGGCCTGCGGACTGAAGGGTCCCGGGTTTGATTCCGGTCGAGGGCATGTGCCTGGGTTGCGGGCACATGCCCAGTGGGAGATGTGCAGGAGGCAGCTGATCGATGTTTCTCTCTCATCGATGTTTCTGGCTCTCTGTCTCTCTCCCTTCCTCTCTGTAAAAACTCAATAAAATATATATAAAGAGGTGGAGCTCATTCAGACTGTACCCTGCAAGCAGGATTTAAAATATAAAGGCATTACATCTGCTTTTTATCACATCATTTGCATCTCAGAAGAGTAGAATTTTTAAGAAAAATTTTAGTTATATCTGAATTATGTTTTTATTGAAGTTGATGAACTTTAGAATTTCAAGATTCACCTGATTTTAAATATAAAGTGCAAAACATAGCAAAGCTAAATCTCGATGACTAGGTTATTTGTCAGTTTGTGTTTCTGTTCCCTTCTATAAATCTGAAAATTTGATAATTTTTGTCCATTCTCACTTTTTAAATGTCTTAATAACCAGTGATTGCTTTGAATTTTAAGATACATGTGTATGTGTGTGTGTTTTTTTTCTTTTAGCCATATCAGTTTGAACAGTGCATTGTACATTCTCTGCAATCACTTAAAGGAGTTCTAGACTGCAAGCCTGGAGAAACCAGTGTAAGTTTTCTGTTCTGGTCAACCTCTGTTGCAGACTTTCCCAATGAGCTGTTGGCAATCAGTTGTAGAGTTTTGAGTCATTTCAGCACAATGAAATGCTTGGCTTGTTTTATTTCATTTAAATATAGAGGCGGTTGTTTTCTTGATTCCAAGAGAGGCTGATGGAAGTTAGAAATGTGAATGTAGGTGTTGTAGATAGACTATGTGCATTGTTAACACTTTGTATACGGACAAAACAAGTGACTTAGGTGGTCTTACGCTGCTCCATGTCAGTGTCTTCTCAGGGCAAAATCACTGTAATTAGAAACACTCACTGCCTAGTCCAGCTCTTCATTCATGGCCCTTTTCAGAATAAGGTTATACACACTAGAAGCAGTTTTCGACGTGTTAACTCTTTATATTGAACTTCATAAACAGAAGTTTTGTTTGAGCTAAGTCCAAAATAAAATTTTTCAACAAAATTCTTCCTTATAGGTCTTTCAACAACCTAAAACACAGGAGGAGGTTTGCCAACTAAGCATCAATATCATGCAGGTAATAACTACAAACACTGGTACCCTGAGCTTGAAATAATGCAAATTATTTTTCAATCTTCTCTTATTTAGAATATATATAACATCTATACTAATAAAAGGTACTAGTTGTACCCATTAATAATGCAGATTTTGTAATCAAAGAAAACATGATAATTTCAAGAGAAACATCAAAAGTGCTTCATTCAAAGTAATGTCCATCGCTAGCTACACATTTCCCCCATCTTTCAGGTAATTTGTGGATACTGTCCCAATAGAACTTTTCTTGTTTTGAGGCAAACCATTCAGAGACCCAATTTTCCACTTCTTCGTACGTTTTGAAGCGCTGCTCAGAAAGTGCATGTGCCATCAATTGGAACAAGTGCTAAGCTGAAGGAGCAAGGTCTGGTGAACACAGTGGGTGGGTTCATACTTCCCAGACAAGATCTTTTAACGTGTCTTTAACTGGTTTTGAAGTGTGTGATGGTGCATTATCATGAAGCAAAATTACTTTGCCATGTCTTCTGGCCAATTCTGGTTGTTTTATGATTAAAGCGTGTTTCAAATTGATTTTTTATTGTCAGTAGGGATCAGTATTAATGGTTTCACCTGGTTTTAGAAGCTCATAATACTTCCTGATCCCACCAAACTCAGAGCATGGTCTTCTTTGTGAAGCGATTTGGCCTTGCAGTCGATGTTGATGGTTGACCTGGATCAACCCATGATTTTGTGTGTTTGGGATTCTCAAAATAAATCCACTTTTCATCACCAGTCACAATTCGATGCAAAAAAGACTTTGTTTCGTGCCATTGAAGCAACATTTTACTGATGACTTTTCCATTTTCCATTTGTCTTTCGTTCAGTTGATGTGGCACCCATATTCCTTCCTTTAAAATCTTTCCCACTGCTTGTAAACGATCGGAAATTGTTTGCTGAGCAACATTTAATCTTTCTGCAAGTTGTTTTTGAGTTTGACACTCATCTTCGTCCAATAATGATTGTAATTGTTGGTCTTTAAACTTTTTCGGTTGACCTGCACATTCTTTGTCTTTCACATCGAAATCATCACTTTTAAAGCATTTAAACCAGCGTTCACAAGTATCTTGAGATGGAACATGTTCACCATAAACTTCCCAAAGTATACGATAACTTTTTCTTCAAAATAAAGTAATGAATTAAAACTTCCCGCAAATGCTCTTTTTTTGGCATGAATTTCGACATTTTTAAGCGTAAAAATATGATAACACCTTCAGCAAATTTGACATGTGAAGTTTTGAAGCTTGCTGTCAATACAACAAAATAGCATCCATGTCAAATCGCATATATATCAACATATGTGTGACTTCATCTATTGAAAAAAATCTGCATTATTAACCAGTACACCTGGTAATATGCTAATTAGCCCGGACAGCCAAACGACCTTCTGGACGTCATTCCGGACATCCTTTAGAACATTGCTGCAGTGGCCGGGCGAGGCACAGGCGGTTAAGGGCGATCAGGCTGGCAGGGGAGCATTTAGGGGCGATCGGGCAGGCTGGCAGGCGAGCAGTTAGGACAGGGGTGGGCAAACTTTTTGACTCAAGGGCCACAATGGGTTCTTAAACTGGACCAGAGGGCCGGAACAAAAGCAAGGATGGAGTGTTTGTGTGAACTAATATAAATTCAAAGTAAACATCATTACATAAAAGGGTGCGGTCTTTTTTTTTTTTTTTTTAGTTTTATTCATTTCAAACAGGTCAGATCCGGCCCATGGGCCGTAGTTTGCCCACGGCTGAGTTAGGAGCTAGTGGTCCAGCATTTCGAGAGGAATCACCCCTAACCACTCTGCTTGCCTGCCTGATTGCCCCTAACTGCTTGCCTGCCTGCCTGCCTGATCACCCCTAACCCCTTTTGCCGCCTGCCTGATCATCCCTCACTGCTCGCCTGCCTGCCTTATTGCCCCTAACCGCCTCTGCCTCGGCCCCCACCGCCACAGCTTCGTTCAGAAGGACGTCCGGAATGACATCCGGAAGGTCGTTCGGCTCTTCGGTCTAATTAGCATATTACACTCTTATTATCTATACTAACAAAGAGCTAATATGCTAATGGTCAATATGTCATAGCGGCTAATGACCAGGTCTTTAACATATTAGTTGGGGCATTGCTCCAGAGACAGGGCGGAAGTGGGGAGGCACCCAGAGGAGGCAGGACCTTCCAATACTGGGGAGGGCAGGGGTGAGAGCCCATATACCCCCCTCACCAGTCCTTCGCCACCCACCGCTCACATTCTGAGTGCCCCGCGGCCCACCTGCCAGGGGAAGGAGCACAGCGCAGCAGGCGGGAGGCTTCTATGCTCTCCTCCAGCACCATGGTGGGGCGGAGCTGCCGTGTTGCTCCGGGGACTGAGCGGAAGTGGGGAGGCACCCAGAGAAGGTGGGACCAGCCCAAGGTGACTAGAGGGACTGAGGGTGGGGCTTGAAGTGGCCAGAGAAGGCCAGGGGGTCTGGCGGCTGGGCCAGGCGCACTGGAGCTCTGTGTGGACAGGTTCGGGTATAAAGGCAGGGCTGTAAGTGGGTGGGCTGGGCTGGGCCACATCATGATTTTCGAATCACATGCTGGGCTCCTAGTTATAGATAAAATTATTTTTAACTAGAGGCCCAGTGCACAAATACTGTGCACGGGTAGGGACCCTAGCGGCTGCCATCTGCCGGCCAGGGCCTCCATTCCCCCAGCTGGTGGCAGGCAGCTTCCCCCGGCTGCCTGCTGCCACTGCTGGCCTGGGCCTCCCTTCCCCTGGCTGCCTGCCACCAACACTGGCCAGGGCAGGGCCAAATAGGGGGAGGGGCTGCGGGCGGTTGGCCGGCTGGCCCCACCCCATGGTCGAACTCCCAGTTGAGGGAACAATTTGCATATTAGGCTTTTATTATATAGGCTATTCAAATAGATTAGAATCTATGAGCTCATGTCACTGAAACTTCTTATTTTTTAACTTAGACTTTTATATATTGTCTGGAACAATTGAGCACCAAGCCTGATGCAGATGTAGATACTGCACAGTAAGTAAAACTAAAATTAATCTCATTCATGCATTTAGGAGGATTGAAAATACAGACTGATGTTATATATTTGGTCTTTTCTCACATACTAAGATTTCCAATAAGAGAGAGAAATTATTATAAGAAATTTATAATTTTCTATATTTGACCTATGTTTTTTCCATAGTTTCTTTATCTTCTGAACTCATCATTACTAGAGAAATGTTGAGTAAACTGAGCACATGATCAGCTCAGTAATTATCCAAACAAAGTTTTATAAATAATAAAGTAGAAAATTAAATATATAAATTATTCATTAACTTTTATAATTCTGGTGGAGAGGATTTCACTAATACTCTTGTTAAAGACTAATTATTTTAGTGAGATTAATTCTGGGTCAGGCTTAGTTATTTGGACTGCAAAAGACAGATCTTGATTCTTGATATTTATAAATCCATGAGATAATGCTTTTATTTTTTAAATATTTTTCAGATGGTTCTATAGGATTTTTTTAAAATCTAGTTTTTCTGAATGACATTGCCATGTGTAACTTTTGTGCACCTAAGATTTATGCTCTGACACACATAATACTGAAATAAATGCCTGTTAAATTCATAATAAAAAATTAAGAATTTTTTTTCTGTTTTTCTGTTTCCTGGTATTGGGTTTTGCCTCTCAGTATAGAAACTGTCACCTCTCTGAGACATAATAAATATTTAATTCTTCTAGTTTTCCTTTAATTTTATATATCTGTTCACTTGTGAGCTGTTAACTAATTCCCTAACTCAACTCAGTTATAAATGGTTGACTCTGAAGGTGAGTTTGAAAAAGCCTTGTGGAGATTCTGATAGTCACGGTCATTTCAATTATGTAAGTCTATACCTAAAAATTAAATTATGAGTTATTTTCTCCCTTGGTGATTTGTTTTTAAATTTAATTAAGTCAGGATTAGGAAACTCAAAACTATATGGCCCTTATTAATAGAGTTTTTAGTGTCTAATTTGAGCTATTGATTGTTAAATATTAGAAACTTACAGAAAGTTATTTGATTTTTTTTCACCAAAGGATCAATTTTTTAAATTAAAGTACAGTTGATATACAATTAGTTTCAGGTGTTAGAACATAGTGATTCAGTACTTATATGCCTTATGAAGTGATCACCACAATAATCCTAGTAACCATCTGTTACATACAAAGTTATATTATTCACTATATTCCCTTAGCTGTACATTACATTCCTGTGACTTATTTATTGTGTAACTAGAATTTTGTACTTCTTGATCCCCTTCACCTTTTTTAATCTTCCCCTCGCCACCCTCCCCTCTGACATCAATCAGTTTGTTCTCTGTATCTATGAGTCTGTTTTATTTGTTCATTTGATTTGCTTTTTTACATCCCACACATAAAGAAAATCATATAGTATTTGTCTTTCTCTGTCTGACTTATTTCACTTAGTATAGTACCTCCTATATCTATGCATGTTGCAAATGGCAAGATTTCACTGTTTTAAATGGCCGAGTAATATTAATATTCCGATGTCTCTGTGTGTTTGTGTGTGTGTGTATGAGAGAGAGAGAGAGAGAGAGCATCTTTATCCATTCATGCATCTATAGATATCTATAGGTTGCTTTTATTTCTTGGCTATTGTAAATAATGCTGCAGTGAACATAGGGTAGGGTACGTATGTATTCTGAAAGAGTGATTTTGAAGTATTTACTTGTTTTATTAATACTCATGAGTGGAAGTTTGGGTAGTATGGTTGTTTTATTTTTAATTTTTTAAATATATTTTATTGATTTTTTACAGAGAGGAAGGGAGAGAGATAGAGAGTTAGAGACATCGATGAGAGAGAAACATCGATCAGCTGCCTCCTGCACACCTCCTCCTGGGGATGTGCCCACAACCACGGTACATGCCCTTGACCGGAACTGAACCTGGGACCTTTCAGTCCACAGACCGGCGCTCTATCCACTGAGCCACACTGGTTAGGGCTATTTTTAATTTTTTAAGGACCTGCCAAACTGTTTTCTATAGTGGCTGCATCAGTTTATAATCCCACCAATAGTACATGAGGGTTCTCTTTTCTTCACAATGCAAATATTGGTGTGCTTGATGTTGTCCTAGAGATACATTAAACTTTTTTCTTTTTGCTCTTCTGATTAGTTGATGTTTTACTACTTTGTCTTCCATATCTATGATTTTTTCTTTTGTAACAGCTAACCTGCTGTTGATTCCCTATAGTATATATTTTTCCTTTTAGTTATTATATTCTTAGTTCTGGTTGTATGTTTTTCCCCTGGTCTCTTTGTTGAACTTTTCACTCAGTTCATTCATTCTTCAACCAGATTCATTGAGCATTTCTATAGCCATTATTTTGAAATATTTATTTGCTAGACTGCTTAATCACCATTTCATTTAGGTTTTTTAACTGGGATTTTGTCCTTTTTTTGTTTAGAACACATTTCTCCATCTCCTCATTTTGCCTGTCTCCCTGTGTTTATTTCTGTGTATTAGTTGTAGTTTTGTTGTATCCATGGGAGGAGGTGAGCTCAGAATCTACTTACTCTGCCATCTCAATTCCCACTGTGCAGAGAACCGACCAAAAGATTTTAAAGCCAAATTAACATAAGGTTCACTTTTTTTTTTTTTTGAGGTATAGTTGACATATAACATTATATTAGCTTTTTTAATTTTAGGGCTTTGATTGTAACTGTTCTCTTTCTTGCTTTTATATTCAGTCTTTCCGTTGATGTTTCTTCTCCTGATTTGTTTGGAAGTATTCATGAAGACTTCAGTTTGACTTCTGTAAGTGAGATGATAAGTAATTAAGATGATAAATAGAGGGTGAAACATGTCATTTAAAAACTATGTAGCTGGACCAGAGTGGCTCAGTTGGTTGAGCATCATCCTGTGCACTGATGGTTCATATCCTGGTCAGGGCACATACTTGGGTTGCGGGTTTGATCTGTGGTTGGAGCATGTATAGAAGGTATCCAATAGATGTTCTCTCCCCTCCCCTCCCCTTCCCAAGCATGTCCGTGGGTGAGGATTTAAAAAACAACAACAAAACAACTAATATTTAATGGCTATTTCATAAATCTATCTAAATTACCTACTACATTAGTGCTGTAGCATTGTGTTTTATTTTGTGAAAATGTTAAAAAATATAGAATTTTATATATATTCTACACTTAAAATGTTTTTAGCTCAAGTTGCAACTTAACTAGTTCCTTCTACTCTCCACAGTTTGCATGTTCTTATGTGAACTACGTGTCCTAGTAGGTCCCTGGTGCTTGAAAGTTGGAGAGGAGACAGAGGACAGATGCCTGTTCCCTGCACATGTTTTCTTTTTAACCAGAGAGACTCTGCTTTTCTCTATTTTATTTCTGTCAGTTCTATAATAGCATTTATTTGAACACAAAATTCCATGGCAAAACCAAAATACGTGTGTGTGTGTGTGTGTGTAATATATATATAAAATCTCCTAATTGGTTAGATTAGAGGGGAGTGGGGAAACACTAAGGGTAAAACTTTAGATCACTCAAATAGTTTTTCCATTTGAGGAGAAGAACCATTTTTCTTCAACTACAGAGAGCTAATTACTATGGGTATGATGAACTCCTAGATAAGGCTAATATTCGGAAGGAAGATGATGGATAAGGCAATTAAGAATTGAATTTATTACTGGGAATCCAGATGAGAATTTCAAAGAGTGCAGCATGTTTAGAGTGGCTGGTAAGACATATTTACTTTATTTCATGTGCTTTATGTACAAGGACCACATAAGAGTAACACCAAGTCTAGGGTAATAGGGAATATGGCCTCCCAGCCTTACCTGTGCACCTTTCCAGAGCTGTTCATTGTTCTCTTTCTGATTTTTACTTGTCATTTAAACACGAGTGTGGGAGGAGCTTACATGCCATAATCCTCGTTACCTTGTTTTGTACTCGATTTCCCACCTATAGATTATGAGGGCTATTAACAGTGTTTCATTTGCTTGAAGGTACCTTAATAATTCCTGGTCTTTTAATTATATTTGTTGATGACCAAAAAAGGCATTGACTAGACTACACTCCACCAGAAATAGAGAGGAACATATTAAATAAACATTTTTAAATTTAGAAAGTTTTTAAAAATTTGAGGGGCCCAAATGAAATTATTGGGAGATATAACTTGTGCTTGGCAATTGAGTTTAAAGAGGGGAGGGTGGGGGTAAGGGGGAGAGAGCTCAACCAAAGGACTTGTATGCATGCATATAAGCTTAACCAATGGGCACAGACACCAGGGGAGTGAGGACATGAGTGTGGGGGCGGGGGGGCAATGGAGGGATAAGGACACATATGTAATTACCTTAATCAATAAAGAAAAAACAAACAAAAAAAACACACAAAATAATATGGAAAAAAAGTTTATTCTGTGGTTTGTATACCTCAAAGGACAGAGGCCTATTTCCATGTTTATCATATTGACTTTAACATAAATTATTCTGATTACATATGAAATAGGAAACAAATATGGGTGAGCACTTTTCCTGGAAAGTGGTTTTTGTCTTCATTTTTAGTCAAGAGATCTTAAACTAAGGCCCTAAATTAGTCACATTTGTCCAGATAATGCTCTTATAAGTGAGGGAGCACCGGGAAAGTGCTCTCTGTGAGCCTCAATAGCAGTGACAAATACCATTCCTGGAATTTTATTTATAAAAATAGTTCTTCTGAACAGTAAAAGTTGGTTTATTTATCAGCATTGGGGTCTGTAATTTTGATTAGAAATGACTTTAAACAGCTACAACTCTGGAGAGTATAGAATATAGGGCTCTAGTCCTCTCTATTACTGACACTGCAGGAGTCACTGTGTGCCTTCACTCCCCAAAAGAGGGAGACTGTCGTACATAAAAAATTCTGTGAAGTTCCACGTTTTTAAAAGAGCCCTCATATGGATTGTATTACAATTTTCTTATAAACTATTTTCTAAGAGTTTCCACAGTTTTTGTAATAGCTTAAAAATAGCCATTTTTAGCTTTTTGTGCACAAAGTATTAAGTAGAATAACTAATAACATGAATCCCTTTTATTTGAACTACAGCTGATTCTACTTTAGTTAACTGTTTTTCATCAGCCTATTTCTCTCTATAGCTGTTAAATTTCAAAGGGAACATTATTTGAATCTGTATTATATAATAATGAGCAATGAAAATTATAGAATTGTATTAATGTTTCTCTCTGTGTTAATATTGGGAAAGAAGGAGTCAAGGAAACCGAAATGTTGAATATTGATATTAAACATCAAGAGATTATAATTAAGTTTAATGGTAACTGTTAGACTTTAAATTTGTTAATATAAATGTAATTTTATAAAAATTTGTTTTACTCTTAGGAACAACAACTTTTGATAGTCCTAAGTAATTGCTGCTACCTACAGTGTCACACCTTCCTAAATATAGCAGAACATTTTGAAAAGCACAACTTTCAAGGAATAGAAAAAATAACACAGGTAAGTGAATTATGTTAAATGGACAAGTTGGTTTTTTTTTTTTATCAATTTCCAAACTACTTTCTCAGCACGCTCTTTCTTTTGCTTTCCTGTCCTTTTCCCTCTTCTTGCCCTCCCCTCCCATAATCCTTCCCTATTTTCATCCCACCCTGTTTTTTGAATGACTCTTGTCCTTCTCATAACTCACCTTGAATAATTAATTTAATACTCTCTTCTTTCCTCTAGAGCAAAGTTTTCTCAAGGTTAGAGCTGATTTACTACCCACCTAAGTTATTCAAAAGTAAGAGGGAAAAATAATGACACAAAGGCATAAAACCCAAATCTTTAAGAATCATCTCAAATTTTGGCTCCTTTTAAAGCTTTTACTCATAGCCAACAGCAGACTCCCTGAGCCTGCAGAAAAAAATAAATCTCTTCCTGCTTATTCACACTTTTTTCTCTCTCCCTTTCCATGTGTTTAAAATGATCCTTTTGCTTTACTACTTAAGCAGGCACACAGGTGCTTGAGCATGGACACAAATGCACACACACATACACACACACACACGAGACTGGATTACAAGAGCTGTAGGATGCTTAATATCTTGCTTAATATCTTAACTGAAAAACACATAGTCTCCATTCTCTACTCAATGGATATAGCAAGGCTGCACAAAAAATGAGTTCTGTATCAATGGAGTAGGTTTTTTAAAAGTTATATTTTGTTGTTTATATGTTTTCAAGTAACCAGAAAAGGAAAAAAATGAAGTAACCTTGTTACTAAAGGTTAGTTGGTTCCTGGGCAAAAGTTTATCAGATTTCTAAGTAAAACTAAGCTAGAACCACTTTTTAATGTCAGTACAGTTTTCTCGGTGCAAAGAATAAGAAAGATTATGATCTTGTTAATCTTATAATCAAAATGTACTCTCGATGGATCACATACTTTTTGCAAAATGATGGTTCCAGTTCATGAGCTCAATTGGGATTTTTTTTTTTCAAAGAATGAGAATATCGAAGTGGGTGGCTCTGTCTTGTTTTCCTGTCTTTTCGTAAAAATTAATCATTCTGATGAGAAATGTTGTGACTTAGGCTGCAGGGTCAAAAGTCAAGTTTATTTCCTTAAGTTTTTGTGTTGAGTACTGTAAGGTGTTCTCTTGCAGTGAACACTTTGTTTTTATGCAGTAACAATAATTACATCAGTATATTTATTGGAGAATTTTTAATCATTTAAAAATACATGAAATGATTAGGAATTTCAGTAAGTTTGGTTTTCTTTAGTTTTTTAAAAAGTTATAAATCGGAACTATCTATTGTTTCAGTTTATATATTTAGGAAGTAAAACGAAAGTGACATATAAATAGACTTTGTCCAGATCATTTTGAGACCAAGGTAATATGAAGGGTTTGTAAGTGCAGCTTAGAATAAATGGTAGGCTATTTTTCACATTGAGAATTTGAAAATTTTAATTGACCAGTGATATTTTGAAATTATTCAGTTGTATAAATAGTAAAGTAGATTTAGATTATAACATTTGTGTTAATTTTGTTTGTTAATGAGTAAATTCATTAATTACATGATACCAACCAAGTCAAATATATTTTTGCATTAAGGGAAAAAGGTTGCCAACTGCTATTGTTTTCAATAGTCTGTTTTCAAAAGACAGCTAATCTAGGGGTAAGATTCCTGAGAAATCAAGGGGGCATGTAGATCGCATGAATAACTTAGTATCTATCCTTTCGCCCTGTTTCTGCTCTTAGAGATAATGGTTCATTGAGGGCTTCTCACTTAGTGTCACCAGACACTAGACATTCTCTCAGATCTCCTTCCAGGGATGAACTGGTGGTTTGTCAAGGGTTCATCTGAGCATATTTTCTCCTGCTTCCCTATTGGTTCTACCAATAGAAGGAGGAAAAGTAATAGTTGTTAATTCCCTAAATCTTGTTCCCTGTCTTCAAAAGTAGAAAGAATTTTAATATTGAGATAGTACAGAAATAACTGTGCTTTTTAGGAGTTTATTAAATAGTGACCAATGATCATTTAAAGCTGGAATGATTTCATATATACAATTTGCAAATAACCCTGTGAAGTAATTAAGGTATTAACTCAGGTGTTTTTTTTCATACAAAAGCTGCTAGGAGAAGATAATGATTTGACCTATTTAATAAGTAGCAGAGTAAAGCAGGACTTAACATTAAGTTTTCTCATTCTAAATCCAGAATGCTTTCTGGCCCAGAACCATATATCTTAAAATAAAGAACAAAATTGTTCCCTGGAAATATACCAAAGGAATAGGAAGATGTGGTAACTATAATTATATAATTCCAAGGAATCTTTTTTACATATATAAAATGCTATTTTAACCTATCTTAGTCTTTAAAAAGCAAATGTCCAATTTACAGTATGATAATTGCAGATTTTCAGTTTACTCAGAACTGTAGTCATTAAACAAGTCTGTCATTAAATTCTTTTTTTAATTTAATTTTATTGATTCTTTTACAGAGAGGAAGGGAGAGGGATAGAGAGTTAGAAACATTAATAAGAGAGAAACATCACTCAGCTGCCTGCTGCACACCTCTTACTGGGGATGTGCCTGCAACCAAGGTACATGCCCTTGACCGGAATCGAAACTGGGACCTTTCAGTCTGCAGGCTGACACTCTATCCACTGAGCCAAACCATTTAGGGCTGTCATTAAATTCTTGATTGAGGTTTTACTACTACATGGGGGTTGAGAAAGGGCAGTTTTGGGGGTTTTTTTTTAGTATATCCAGGGAAGATTCTATACCAACAGCAATCAATTTTAAAGATTTTGTGTCCCTTGAACCGAATGTGCTATATTTTATGTATTTAAGTATGTTTAGCTTAACGGTATATAATCCTTAAATTTTGCATCAAACCTTTTGAATTCACAGAAGTGAATGATTATGGCTTGTGACCTCACTTTATTTATTTCCCCCATCTCTTAATAATATAAATTAGCTAAATTTTGTTTAGAAGCTATTTTAATAAAATAAATTACTTGCAAATTAATCCTTTTGGGAGTTTAAGATCTTATGGACAGGAATTATAAATTGGGAGATGAATGCCATGAAGAGCACTGAAATGTGGGAAGGAGAACAATATAATCAGATCTGTATTTCTGAAAGCCCCATCCTGAAAACACCACAGATAGAATTTAGAGATTAAGCTAAGAATTTGGGAGGGAGGCTCCTACAATAGCACAGTAGTGGAAAAGGATTGAGTTTAAACAGAAGAGAAACATAGATAGGTTGATGTTTGAACTGTTTTAATCTTTCTCTCATGGCATTCATCACCCCTACTCCAATCCCCTTTCATCTAGTCACTCATCTTTCCTTGATCATTTCGTGCAATATGTCTTCTCATTAATTTAATGAACATTAGCTTACCAGGCTCTATTTTAAGAACACTTACGTATAGTTTGTTTTACTATCTATCAGGAATGCCTTTTCCTCAGTCTTGACATGACAAAATCTTGATCCTTCAAAGCCCCACTCAGATACAAAGTCTCATCCTGTAAAGAGCCTCTTATGACCTCTTCTTATCTGTTTTTCCAAGGTACAAAATGAATCAAATCGTCTTCTGATGATGTTCTATTCACACCCCTGGAATAGCATTTTAACACATGACATTATGATTAGTTTAATATTGGTATACTTTCTATTAAATTTATCTGTATTGTTGAAAGTAGTCCCCCTTTTCTTCACCATTAACCCTCTCCACCTCACACCCACCCCTCCCAGGTCTTTACCACACTATTGTCTGTGTCCATGGGCTGTGCATATCCTATCTAATAAAAGAGAAACATGGTAATTAGCGTACGACCGCTACCCTTCCCATTGGCTAATCAGGGCAATATGCAAATTAACTGTCAGCCAAGATGGCGGCCGGCAGCCATGCAGCTTGAAGCTAACATGAGGCTTGCTTGCTTCAGTGACAGAGGAAACCAACGTTCCCTGCCTGCCTTGCCAGCCTCTGAGCCTGCAGTTTGAAACATTGTAACAAATATAGAAGCTAAACAAAACCCCAGAAACCTGCTTTCAGCGAGCTGGGATCTCAGAGCTGGAGTTATACATTGTTTCGATTATAGAACCCAAACAAACCAGATACCTGCTTTCAGCAGCAGAGGACTCAGAGCTGGATCCAGAGCTAAAGCTGGCCCAGAATAAAAAAAAAAAAGAAAAAAAGGAGCAGTTGGGAGCTTCAGCCCTCAGCTCCTCACCCAGGCTGGCCAGGCACCTCAGTGGGGACCCCCACCCTGATCCAGGACACCCTTTAGGGCAAAAAAGCCAGCCCCACCCATGCACCAGGCCTCTATCCTATATAGTAAAAGAGTAATATGCCTCCCAGCACCGGGATCAGTGGAGCCGAGAGGCCTCCTGGCACCGGGATCAGCGTGACAGGGGGAAGCGCCTAAACCCCCTGATCGCCCTGCGGCTCTGTGTGTGACAGGGGGCGGGCCACAATCTCCCTATCCGCCCTGCTCTGTTCATGACAGGGGAAGGTGCCCCAACCTCCTGATCAGCCCTGCTCTGTGCCTGATACGGGGGAGCTCCCCAACCCCCTGATCGCCCAGCAGCTCTGTGTGTGACAGGGTGCAGCGCCCCAACCCCCCCGCCCTCCGACGGGCCCTGCTCTGTGTGTGACGGGGTAGAGCCATAACCTCCCCATCAGCCCTGCCCTGAGTGTGAGAGTGGCGACGCCCCAACCCCCTGATCGGCCCTGCTCTGTGGGTGATAGAGGGCGGCGCCCCAACCCCCCCCCCCCCACACGGGCCCTGCTCTGTGTGTGATGGGGTAAAGCCATAACTTCCCCGTCGGGCCTGCCCTGAGTGTGACAGTGGCGGCACCCCAACCCCCTGATCGGCCCTGCTCTGTGGGTGATAGAGGGCGGCGCCCCAACCCCCTGATCCGCCCTGCTCTGTGTGTGACAGGGGGCGGTGCCCCAACTCCCCTATCGGCCCTACTCTGTGACGGGGGGGGGGAGCTCCTCAACCCCCTGATG